TTCGATTGAATAAAAATATTTCTCTAATGGAGGACTGAAAAAAATACATACTTTAAAGGAAAAACCTGTGCAAATTAGTGCAAAAAAGTAAAAAATTAAACTAATGTTAATTATACAAACTTGATATTATCCTTTTTAGCATTTCGAAATTTATTAGTAGCTGTAGTCTTTATTACTCGAGGTTCAGTCCAATTTCCTTATTGACTCCAACGTCTTTGGATTTTTAATTTGTTTTCAAATCCGCTTCCAAAAAATATGGGCTGTGTATTGATGTTTGGTTAAGATTGGTAGTTTTGGGTTATTTTGGGTCGCTGAGGGTGAAAAGATTTAAAATCACATCACAATTTTTAAATTTTCTAAGGTCTCCTTTATTGTACTCATTGTTTTGTTTAATTTATTATCAGTTCTATTCTCTTCTTTAGTCTTAATCTGAGTTTCGATTACTCCTGCTTAGCAAAAGTGTATGTTCTATATCCTTGCAATGATTTCTGTGATCCAGAATTTTGAAAATAATAGATATGAATTAACCAAAGTTTGAAATGATACTTTGAACGAACTAAACATAAAGTTAAATCAAACATAAAATAAAGAAATAAAATAAAAACTAATTCAAAGCAAATTTCTGTAATTAATTTTAATCTCCGAAAATTTTAACAATTAGATTGTTATATTGATTTTGAAACGTCCTTAATTAGGTAGCTATTTTTCGGCTTTAAATTTGCTTTCGAAAAATTTTATCGTTTGATCGTCCTTATTTCATTTACAAAATTTGTCCTTTTTCTTTTCAATTCATTTGCTGCATTTGCAAATACTTTTGAAATTAAATACTGAGATTATGATAAATTATCCGAATGGTATTGAAAATTAATGCAAATTCTATTGTACTATAGAATGCACCCCTGAATTTAAATAGACTAGACAGACTTGAATTTAAGGAAAGAGTAAAATGTTTAGTTATTGAAGAAAACGAGAAAGTAATATAGATTTCCTTAATCGATAGTTATCGATTAATTAACTTATAGATAGTCCTATGACACATATAGTTGGCGACACATAAAAGTAGACGATTAAATAGTTGTTTTGTAAATCTGATTTTCTGCCTCGGTCTACCTTTGCGTTAATGATATAATACTGGCGACTAGTTTTCCTATTATGAAAATGCCACATTTAAAATTATTTGTAAAAACTGAAATAATTACATTAATCGAGGATGGATGGTCAACAAAAATAGTAGCTGAGAGATTTGGAAAACCGAAGAGGACGATTTATTGGTACAGAAATTAATTAAATTGTTTGTGACATACATTGTACATACTTGTACGTATTTCACAAAGTCTGATTTAACAAAGTCGGGAAAATCGCATTTAGGAGTCGTCTACTTTCATGTGTCACTAACTGTACATTAAAGTACCTAACTAACAAAATAGTAACTTTTTCTAGTTCAATAAAAAAAATGTTAGGTGCCAAACTTTCGTTTTTAAATTTACCACCTATTCTTATTTATTCTTCCTTTATTAATTTGTGTTTTGAAATTTTACGTTTTTCTAAGTATTTTGTTTTTATTCGGATATTTCCACAACACGAACTGCTGATTTGTGCATCAACTGCTCACCTTATAAAAATATCGACTACCTTTAGGCATTTGATCAATATTTTCTGCTGTCTCAAACACTGAGTAAAAGCTGGCAAAAGCAGCCAACTAAACTGTTGGAAAACTGTTGGAAACCTCGTGAAATACGTTTTGTACTTTATTTCTTTCATAACTCACTATAATTGTTTTTTATGTTTCTGCACCGAAGTTCTTCTACTTCGAACTATGATATTGAAATGTGTATGGTCCATTCGTTTTGCACATATTCCATAAGCTCAATTGCACTTAAACGAAAATGCACAATAAGACTTAATTTAACAAAAAAACGTGATAAATTTACATGTAATAATTTTGATTTTATGGTGCATTAAATCGACAACAATGCATTCATGAGGGGTTCACAATTCATAAGGATTCTGAAATGCCCTTATCATTGCAGACGTGTTTTGGATTATACATCGGATTAAACAAGAAATAATGTGAAAACTATTGAGAGAATAATAATAGGGCTATTATCATATCGCATTTAATGCGGCGAGCTTAAATGGGAATCGGAACTGATAAGTCCGTAGAAGCAAATAAGCTTAATACCAAAAGCCGTCGTAATTAGTTTTTAACTATTTTTTTTGTTTCAGGTACGTATCAGCTAGATGGATATGGCGGCAAGTAGATAAATAATTATTTTATTAAATCACTAAATCGCTCAATCAACTATTAAATTAACAATAAGCTAAGTAGCATTCAAATGGACGTAACAAACTTTTACACAGGAGTCCATTTTTTTTGTTTGGAAACGAATTAAAACTGAAAGTGTAAATTGGTGAAAAGCGCAGTAAAAATGAAGCCATCCGTTTGATTTTTATGGCTTTAACATACCAAAAGGCCGAAGCGCTAGAGCAAAATTTCAAAGAGAGTCCTGAGGGTATTCGTAGTGGAATAATCGGAAACGCTCCTCACATCCGGTTATAGAATATTCGGTTCGCTATTACATTTCTTTCCGGGATGGCTGTTTCATATTTCAACGGACATCGAGGTCAGAAAAACCGCTCAAAACAATACTGATGGTTTTGCATAGCGTCCCAATTTTTCGTTAAATTTCCGCTCGACCGGGTAGAAACTGTTAAAGAATGTGTGACCCATTATGGTTGGCATTTTCGATACTTTAGAAGGAGAGACGGGATTTTTCGCTTCTTATTACCATAGAAAATGGTCGAGAATCTGTGTAAAGTGTGCTATTAAACGTTATAGCATTAAATGCGGTTATTAAGGTAAAAATTCGTTAATTTCAACACGATTGGGATTTTCTCTATAATGGTGGAGAAGTGGTTCTGCAAGAAAGTACCAAGATGGTTCTTTAAGTGTCGCATTCGCCGCGAAATCGAGTAATTTTTTGAACTTTGAGAATTCACTTACTTTAATAACACTTTTTGGAAACGGTTTGATACTAACTTTCTGAGAATATCTAAAGTTATGTTTAAATTACAAGTTGTAAATGTAATAAAAATGTTCTCCTTCTCTTCCCCATTTTCTATTTTTTTTTTAAAGGTAGGTACAACCTTTTCATAGGTATCTGATCAAATTTATAAATCTAAATTGAAAAACTGTATTTACATTTCGAATTTTAAGATCTGAATATTAGGCGAAAAGAAAAGTGTAAGTAATGTTTCAAACAGAAATTGCTGGTCATCTTCTAAAATACGATTTGATAATTATAATTTATTGCGGATGTTTCCTGAACTTGTTACTTGCCCCTTCAGATTTCATACTGAAAATCCGGCTGAAATCTTATATCATGTAAAGTTGCTTGCAATTGCGCAAACCATAAACAAACACGCCTATCAAATTCAGTCAGTTTTATTCGTGGTATTGCATCCCAACAGTTCACAGATCCAGTTTGGATATAGTGGTTAAATTGCTTGTCTGTGCTGATTGTCCCTTTCAAATGCCTTGGGATTTTGCTATCATATGTGCTTGATATAAGTTTGGGTTTTACAATTTCGTGTGTATGTTTGAAAACCTTCCATGTTTCAGCAATACACATTAGATATGACCTTATACTGGGTATCAATATGAAAACTTCCCACCCTTAATATCTTAATATCTTTCTTGCAGTTTAAAATGTGAAAAATCGGAAAGACTCGTACATTTTATTTGTAAGGGGAACACTATAAATTAATGTTTTTAGCCTCCTTGATTCAACCCCCTAGGTGATGTCACCCTTAGAATCTTAAATGGGAAGGGGGGCCAGTGGTACATCTTTTTAAAGAGCGCTCAATTATCTTGACACTAGTTAATACGTTGTTGCTTTTCGTTCAGCGGTTTCCAAATAAGCGCATGTTAAAGTTAAAGATTTTGGTTTTCATATTAGTGTTCAGGCTAAATAATGTTAATTTAAAGTGTGCCGCTACAAATAAAATTAACGGGACTTTCCGATTTTTCATATGTTCAACTGCAAGCAAGATATTGAGGGTGGGAACTTTGCAAATTGACGCCCCGTATATTTTGCAATTGTAATTCTTGATCCTGCTTCTAATAGATCGGCTTTTGACAATTTCTTTGTATGAGTTAAACAGCACCCTTTCTAGTAATTGACAAAATTCCTTTTTTTTGCAGTTTTCTAAAATACACCCATGTTTTGACAATTTATTTCCACCTCAACTTGTTGACTTTTAAGTGGCTATTCATATGAATGAATTTTTCACTAAAATATTATCATTATGATTTTTGAACGCTATTGGAATAACAGATATATCTACTTAGTTAGTAAATATAAGCAGACTTGATTACTTTTGCTGAGAAATTCTAGTCCTACCACTAGCTTTAGCTTAATTTTGCAATAGTGAAAAGTTTACAGCTTAACGGCTACTTGTTTTAGCAAACAAAACAAATATTTAGAAGCACCTGTAAGTAGCAAATATATACGTTTGATTATTGTCTTATCCAATTGAAAATTTATAAAATACATTTAAGTCTCTTAATGCAAATTTTCTTTAAATGTAACTAACTGCTTACGGAAATTGATCGGCAACTTCCTTTTACAAAAGCATATTAATTAAATAAACTGAAGGAAATTTCATATACCTATCTAACAGAATATTTTTAATCTATGAACGTCAGGCTATGGTCAAAGGTTGCGTTGAACCAGGGCAAATCTTAAGCATTTTCTATTAAAGAAGTGGATTGCATAAAATTAAAGATCTTTGGCGTGCCGGATATACTCATTATTCATTCATTGTTTCTCCTATTAGTAGCGAAATATTTCTATCGTTCACGTGCATTTAACTGCATCATAAACACTTTCTTCTCGGTTTTTCGGCAATAGAAATGCAAATAGTCTTCAAAGCGTGTAGCTTTATTACCACATAAAAATGTTATCAACTTGGTATTTAAGAGGGCAGATTTACATTTTGGAATAATTCACTCAGCTTCAGTTGAACAGCTAACATGATGGTAAAAGTGCTTTTATTGGCCGCTTTGGCTACTGTCTTAGTGTCTGCCGAAGTAGACATGAAAAACTTTGTTCTTTATGGGCCTTTCGAGGTAATAGACATGCCGAAGCTGTGGAACATGTATAAGGTACATTTTTCATATTTTATCAACTATTTGGAAACGGCAGCTAATTTCGCTTAAATTATTTTGTAAAATATTTATTTCCAACGCTATTTTAGACCGTCTACAACAAGAGCTACTCTGAAGTTGAAGACCAAAAGCGTTTGCAACTTTTCGAAAAAGCCGTAAAATCCGTTGTAAAGTTTAATCTGAAATCTATTGCTAATACGGATTTTGAACTGGATGGCATTAATTCATTGAGTGATAGTACTCCTGAAGAATACCAAAACTTTTTCGAATATAAAACACCCGTCACTGCTGAAGAGGTTGATACTGTGAATTCACCAGTGTTCAGCTTATTCTGATTTAGTTGCAAATAAAGCAGTATTTTGAAATTTTTATTAGTATTTTTTTGCAATACCTGTAAATTTTTCAAGTAAGCCCCATTTTCTTGATAATTCTAGTCATCTAAAGAAATAATATATAAGTATAAAAACATCAGTGTGTAAACTATCAAAAATTGTAGTTGTTGCAAAGAAAATCAGTTACTTTGAATTGAAATTATCTTCAATGAGAATTTGATTAACTGAACTTGCCCAATTCTCTTCGCGTCAGTTTCGAAATTCTGCAAATTTCAATCTAACTAAAGCTATTTGAAATACAATACAATCTACAAACCATATCAGTTTCAGTTGGAGTTTCTCATTTATCCTACTTTTAAACTTTCCATTTGTGTCCTAAATATTGTCCAATATCACATTCGCCTGTCCCGAACTATTAAACCTAGAAATTCATTTTTGAAATCTATTTTTAATATGCGTTTAAATTTATGTGCTGGAAGTGCTTCGAAGATTTTTAATGTCAAAGTTGCAACAAACCGTGTAATGGATAATTCGCGATTGACTGAAAAATTCTTATTAATAAGTCATGTTATTAACAGGCTCATAAAACATTCGCTGCTTACAAGATGTCATTTCCGAACCGTGTATTTTGATTTATATCGCATGGGCATATTATGGGTTTTTGTATCTAGAAGTAATTGCTCGATTCGTACGAAATGCCCGAAATAAACACGATACCATCGTCGAGCACCTGCCATGTCTGTTTCATGGAATCTTCCTTTTTCTTTATATGGATGGATTATGCGTTGCGTGATCATGCAGCAGTTGGTGTTCCGACCGCAAAAAAAGGTCCCGGTAATTTTCGGCAAACGGTATATCGAAAGGTCTTCAAGTTTTAATATTGTCTGAATATCACAAAATAAGAAGACTCGTTTTTTATCGCGAATTTTTAGCAAATTAAGTAAATATGTTTGCTAGATATTAAAAATCATTAAATATATTTTATTCAATTCAACAAATTTATGGGTATATGTATGAATATGCATTATATTGGAACTTTAAAGGCATATCGAATATCTCATTGAGCCTCAGAAGGAGAGATTCGTCTACTATCTTCATGCTTGACGTAATAGCCACCCAAGCAGCCGTACGTATGTGTACAGATTACACAGCAATATTACCCGCAGTAATTAAATAGCAGGATCTATGCAATATGATAACCGAATGGCTTAGACAATGGTGATTAACAGTAAATTAATATATTTGCGTGAGCATTTTAAAAATCAGTAAAATGTATGGAAATTCAATCCTTTTGAACACATCAAGATCGTAAAGTATTTCTACGCACCTTTTAATCAGTAGTCAATAACTTAGAAACGTAAATTCTAAGCAACGTGTTAGAGAACACAAACACACAACGATATAAGATGAAGGTGATACGGCTGCTGGACGTCTACATCACAAGAGGCTGAACAAAACATAAAAAAACATACACCGTTTTAAAATAAAGAGGAAGAAAAAGGAAACAAAACCATCAAAAATAAATATGTAACTGTATTAAAACATGTACCAACCTTGAAATCTAATTGGATAGAGTTCAGCGTATCCATTAATTGTCTAGGAACAAGCAAAGGGAACATTAAGCATAACATACAATAAATAAATTAAAAAGAGAAAGGAAGTGTGGTAGCATTGATTAAAAGCAGCTCGAAAACACAGAGTTTAATTTGTATATCCGGACTGTTTTGGATTAAGTAGTGTCTTATTTTCGTTTTACAAGTTGTCATCACTGGGTTAAAGCAGTAAGAATATAAAATAACAGTTCGCAAACTTCAACTGCCAAACGATTTATTTCGTAGAGATAAAAAACTGTGGGAGGAAATGATCGATAAATGTGAGTTTTAAAATACCTAGCGTATAAAAATGTGATGGATTACATTAAGTTGAACATAACAATTTAAATGGATTCATACATGGCTTACTATTGTATTCGAATTGAGTTCTCGATCACTTTCCCCTGCAAAGCGCTTTAAAATGGAACGAAATCATATCGCATTATTATAGCAATTTATTCACGAGGCATACAGAACGATTTTATATGTATAAGAAGAAAGTAAAAATTCTCAAAATATCGATATTTCTTTGTCCAAATTTATTGCACCAGTTTAAATCTGATGTGTCGACGGAACTAAGTTTTCCAAGCACACTTGCTTCATATTTTCTTAAACGCCACTAGTCAAAAAGGAAAAATATGTCGTTTAAGCTGCGCAAAATGCTGGCACATTTTCTTGTGAAATTCAATTAAAATATTATGCTTACTGAATTGCAATGCATCAACTGCAAATCATCAGATGCAAATCAACTAGTAGATTCATTAATTTTCAGATAGGTATTTCTAAACCATATTTGATAGATATTTCTATCCATATTTGATAGATTTTTTACGATAGATATTTCTATTACGTAAATTAGAAGCTTAATTATTTTACAATTTTTCTGTTCTACCAGGGAATGCAGAAACAGTAAAACTGCAATAGATTGATCACAACATATTGAACTTCTTACTTTAACACCAGCAACATTTGTCATCAGAGTAGATGGACCTTCATTTAAATATTGTTATCGAATCAATAATGGGTTATCCATCAAATACCTATTTAAGATTAAAAAAATAGTTGTGGCACTCATACATAATCGTTTGATATTAAAACTTTTACCTGTTTGGAGCACTTATTGAATATCATTATAGATTCAGCATTTCTACTAATTAATCCATATAATTTCATAAATTAATCCTATTTCCATTTGTAAATTATTTAGCAAGTTTCGTATTTCATAATGCCGATTTAATTCCCAATTACTTCCGATACCATTTCAGCTAACGGCATCTTCGAATATTTCTCGATTAATTTCAATTCCCTGCGTGCTGGGAAGCCAAGAACTAACATTATCTGAGCTTGTATCATAAAGTGTAACGCATCTTCTTCGTTCAGGGTAATAAAAGTGAATTAAAATCTTGTTCCTATTCCTTGCAAAAAAACTACAAGATCGACTTGCCACCGAAGAATGTTGCCCGTGATGTTAAAGAGATTCTTATTTCAATAATGACTTGCAATATTGATATAATGCCAACATTTAAGATGAAGCACATTGGATCTAAAGTGAGTTATGTTGGTAATGTTATTTCGAATATGATATGGTTATAATTTGCTTCAGTTCGTCACTGTCTAAGCGCTTCATCTTAATGGAAGCAGTCCATTAATATTGTGCAAAGTCCGTAGTTACGATGTATGAATATTTAATAATTCCATGTTATGTATCTTTCGCGATTTTTACAAATGTTGTCAGGTTTTTAAACAATAAATGATTGTTTTAGAAGATGAAAAGTACAAGTAAGTAGTAAGGAAAGTAACAAGAACTTGAGAACATATAATAAAAGTATTCTCCTGTATTATATAATTTATTCCACTGCCGCTGATATTACAATTTGTATATTTGAAGTCGAGGAACAAGCAAAAGGTTTTTTGGTATATTTATTTTATAAGAACATTGCAGTTCACTTCAGCAAGTACACAGCAAACACACAGTTATCAATTTCAGCATTATTTAGTAGCTCATTTGTAATATATATCCTGTCCTAGGTGTGATAACTTATGTTCGGGTAATAAAGTTCCTCTCGTCCAAGGCAAGATCAATATATCAAAAGTTCGTCATCATTCCCAAGTTTCCAATTTTCCTTTCATCAAGATAATAGATTGCGTACACAAATCAGAAAAAGACAAATAACTTAATAATATTTATGCGTGGAAGCTTGACAAAAGATAATCAATCTGAGAACAAGTCGACCGCTACATCTTTATATCGTAATATGGCAATAATTATTTTTACTTGGCGATATAACATAGTTTTCCAGCAATTTGAAGACTGTTGATTACGCCTATTCGGTCTCTTTATGTAATTGAGAATGACCATGCAGTGGCGTTGCATAAAACTCTTCAAAAATACTTTACAGAATCCGAAATCAAAGAATATTTACTTGGTATTTATAAACTTGGAAAATATTTTAAGAGGCGTAGTACCAAATTGCTGATTGCGTCTGATAATGACCAAATATTGTAGAAGCATTTTTTCCCGAAATAAACAAATCATAAAATTACACAGTCAGCAGCATAACTTTTATGATCTATAACGGTATCAGCCGTTTAATTATTTTAATGAGATTGAAGAAATAGATTGATCAAATGACTAGTAGACTGGCTACTGATTAAATCACAAATTATATTAAAAGTGTTTTATGTCGGGTGTGGTTTCATTTCACCATATCGATATATTAAAGTGAACTGCCGAATCCCTATCGGAATTGCTATTAAAAAATACTATATTTTATATTGGTACTTAAATTTGTGTGTCGTTAATGATAAGATTTTATTTCCTGTATAAGAACCCATTTTTAATTGCTATTTACCATAAATGTACATTTTTCTAGTCGTTTTTTAATTTAGCTACTCCACTGTTCTGCACCGATATTACGAGTGTATTTCCACCGTTGACAGTAGAATTATACGGACTAGGAAGCTATTTGATCCCATTAATAGTGAATTGCTGTACCTGTGGTACTTTGCGGTAATTCTAGCGTTGCTAAGAATTTGCGAATTGGAAAAAATACAAATGCGTCTCAAAAAAATGGCTTTTAAGTCGTAAATTAACTTTATAGCTATTTTCATGTGTTTTTGTATTGAAAAGACTCAAAATAGTTTTAAGTTGTTAAAGAGAAACAAACTTTAGCTGGGCGTGTAAGAAGAGCAAAGATATGCCTTGAAATTGTGTTTCAAAATTAGTTGTTTATTAACTTAATATTATTAACAATTTTCCCAGTCAATACGTTTTTTCAACCTTTTTCAAAACCTGCAGTCACATTTTCCGGTTTTTTATATTAATTCAAATTCATCCAGAATTAATTCAAAATCTGAATGTGATTTGTTTTTTAAAGTTTATTGAATACGGTCGATTTTTTGGTCAAAAACTTTGGTGCGTCTAGGATTTTGCAAGTTCATTATT